TATATCCATGGTGCCCTACCCACACATCCTATATCCACGGTGCCCTACCTCTACACATCCTATATCCACGGTGCCCTACCTACACATCCTATATCCACGGTGCACTACCCACACATCCTATATCCACGGTGCCCTACCTACACATCCTATATCCACGGTGCCCTACCTACACATCCTATATCCACGGTGCCCTACCCACACATCCTATATCCACGGTGCCCTACCTACACATCCTATATCCACGGTGCCCTACCTACACATCCTATATCCACGGTGCCCTACCTCTACACATCCTATATCCACGTTGCCCTACCTCTACACATCCTATATCCACGGTGCCCTACCTACACATCCTATATCCACGGTGCCCTACCCACACATCCTATATCCACGGTGCCCTACCCACACATCCTATATCCACGGTGCCCTACCTACACATCCTATATCCACGGTGTCCTAGCTACACATCCTATATCCACGGTTCCCTACCTCTACACATCCTATATCCACGTTGCCCTACCTCTACACATCCTATATCCACGGTGCCCTACCTACACATCCTATATCCACGGTGCCCTACCCACACATCCTATATCCACGGTGCCCTACCTACACATCCTATATCCACGGTGTCCTAGCTACACATCCTATATCCACGGTTCCCTACCTCTACACATCCTATAACCACGGTGCCCTACCTCTACACATCCTATATCCACGGTGCCCTACCCACACATCCTATATCCACGGTGCCCTACCCACACATCCTATATCCACGGTTCCCTACCTCTACACATCCTATATCCACGGTGCCCTACCTCTACACATCCTATATCCACGGTGCCCTACCTACACATCCTATATCCACGGTGCCCTACCTACACATCCTATATCCACGGTGCCCTACCCACACATCCTATATCCACGGTGCCCTACCCACACATCCTATATCCACGGTGCCCTACCTCTACACATCCTATATCCACGGTGCCCTACCTACACATCCTATATCCACGGTGCCCTACCCACACATCCTATATCCACGGTGCCCTACCCACACATCCTATATCCACGGTGCCCTACCCACACATCCTATATCCACGGTGCCCTACCTTACACATCCTATATCCACGGTTGCCCTACCTACACATCCTATATCCACGGTGCCCTACCTACACATCCTATATCCACGGTGCCCTACCCACACATCCTATATCCACGGTGCCCTCCCTACACATCCTATATCCACGGTGCCCTACCTACACATCCTATATCCACGGTGCCCTACCTACACATCCTATATCCACGGTGCCCTACCCACACATCCTATATCCACGGTGCCCTACCTACACATCCTATATCCACGGTGCCCTACCCACACATCCTATATCCACGGTGCCCTACCCACACATCCTATATCCACGGTGCCCTACCCACACATCCTATATCCACGGTGCCCTACCCACACATCCTATATCCACGGTGCCCTACCTACACATCCTATATCCACGGTGCCCTACCCACACATCCTATATCCACGGTGCCCTACCTACACATCCTATATCCACGGTGCCCTACCTACACATCCTATATCCACGGTGTCCTAGCTACACATCCTATATCCACGGTGCCCTACCTACACATCCTATATCCACGGTGCCCTACCCACACATCCTATATCCATGGTGCCCTACCCACACATCCTATATCCACGGTGCCCTACCTCTACACATCCTATATCCACGGTGCCCTACCTACACATCCTATATCCACGGTGCCCTACCCACACATCCTATATCCACGGTGCCCTACCTACACATCCTATATCCACGGTGCCCTACCTACACATCCTATATCCACGGTGCCCTACCTACACATCCTATATCCACGGTGCCCTACCTACACATCCTATATCCACGGTGCCCTACCTACACATCCTATATCCACGGTGCCCTACCTACACATCCTATATCCACGGTGCCCTACCTACACATCCTATATCCACGTGCCCTACCTACACATCCTATATCCACGGTGCCCTACCTACACATCCTATATCCACGGTGCCCTACCTACACATCCTATATCCACGGTGCCCTACCTACACATCCTATATCCACGGTGCCCTACCACACATCCTATATCCACGGTGCCCTACCTACACATCCTATATCCACGGTGCCCTACCTACACATCCTATATCCACGGTGCCCTACCCTACACATCCTATATCCACGTTGCCCTACCTACACATCCTATATCCACGGTGCCCTACCTACACATCCTATATCCACGGTGCCCTACCTACACATCCTATATCCACGGTGCCCTACCCACACATCCTATATCCACGGTGCCCTACCTACACATCCTATATCCACGGTGTCCTAGCTACACATCCTATATCCACGGTTCCCTACCTCTACACATCCTATAACCACGGTGCCCTACCTCTACACATCCTATATCCACCGTGCCCTACCCACACATCCTATATCCACGGTGCCCTACCCACACATCCTATATCCACGGTTCCCTACCTCTACACATCCTATATCCACGGTGCCCTACCTCTACACATCCTATATCCACGGTGCCCTACCTACACATCCTATGTCCACGGTGCCCTACCTACACATCCTATATCCACGGTGCCCTACCCACACATCCTATATCCACGGTGCCCTACCCACACATCCTATATCCACGTTGCCCTACCTCTACACATCCTATATCCACGGTGCCCTACCTACACATCCTATATCCACGGTGCCCTACCCACACATCCTATATCCACGGTGCCCTACCCACACATCCTATATCCACGTTGCCCTACCTCTACATATCCTATATCCACGGTGCCCTACCTACACATCCTATATCCACGGTGCCCTACCCACACATCCTATATCCACGGTGCCCTACCTACACATCCTATATCCACGGTGTCCTAGCTACACATCCTATATCCACGGTTCCCTACCTCTACACATCCTATAACCACGGTGCCCTACCTCTACACATCCTATATCCACCGTGCCCTACCCACACATCCTATATCCACGGTGCCCTACCCACACATCCTATATCCACGGTTCCCTACCTCTACACATCCTATATCCACGGTGCCCTACCTCTACACATCCTATATCCACGGTGCCCTACCTACACATCCTATGTCCACGGTGCCCTACCTACACATCCTATATCCACGGTGCCCTACCCACACATCCTATATCCACGGTGCCCTACCCACACATCCTATATCCACGTTGCCCTACCTCTACACATCCTATATCCACGGTGCCCTACCTACACATCCTATATCCACGGTGCCCTACCCACACATCCTATATCCACGGTGCCCTACCCACACATCCTATATCCACGGTGCCCTACCCACACATCCTATATCCACGTTGCCCTACCTACACATCCTATATCCACGGTGCCCTACCTACACATCCTATATCCACGGTGCCCTACCTACACATCCTATATCCACGGTGCCCTACCCACACATCCTATATCCACGGTGCCCTACCTACACATCCTATATCCACGGTGTCCTAGCTACACATCCTATATCCACGGTGCCCTACCTCTACACATCCTATATCCACGGTGACCTACCCACACATCCTATATCCACGGTGCCCTACCCACACATCCTAGATCCACGGTGCCCTACCTACACATCCTATATCCACGGTGCCCTACCTCTACACATCCTATATCCACGGTGCCCTGCCTACACATCCTATATCCACGGTGCCCTACCCACACATCCTATATCCACGGTGCCCTACCTACACATCCTATATCCACGGTGCCCTACCTACACATCCTATATCCACGGTGCCCTATCCACACATCCTATATCCACGGTGCCCTACCTACACATCCTATATCCACGGTGCCCTACCCACACATCCTATATCCACGGTGCCCTACCTACACATCCTATTTCCACGGTGTCCTAGCTACACATCCTATATCCACGGTGCCCTACCCACACATCCTATATCCACGGTGCCATACCCACACATCCTATATCCACGGTGTCCTAGCTACACATCCTATATCCACGGTGCCCTACCCACACATCCTATATCCACGGTGCCATACCCACACATCCTATATCCACGGTGCCCTACCTACACATCCTATATCCATGGTGTCCTAGCTGCACATCCTATATCCACGGTGCCCTACCTCTACACATCCTATATCCACGGTGCCATACCCACACATCCTATATCCACGGTGCCCTACCCACACATCCTATATCCACGGTGCCCTACCTACACATCCTATATCCACGGTGCCCTACCTCTACACATCCTATATCCATGGTGCCCTACCTCTACACATCCTATATCCACGGTGCCCTACCTACACATCCTATATCCACGGTGCCCTACCTACACATCCTATACCCACGGTGCCCTACCCACACATTCTATATCCACGGTGCCCTACCCACACATCCTATATCCACGGTGCCCTACCTACACATCCTATATCCACGGTGCCCTACCTCTACACATCCTATATCCACGGTCCCCTACCCACACATCCTATATCCACGGAGCCCTACCTACACATCCTATACCCACGGTGTCCTAGCTACACATCCTATATCCACGGTGCCCAACCTGCACTTCCTCTACCCACAGAGCTCCTCTTTAGTACTCGTGCACGTTTTCCAATGGAAGCGACCGAGCCGTGCCAGGGCCGTGCCGAGTCGGCCTGACACGGCTCAGCAGGCGCCAGGTTGCTTTTCCACTGCGGAAGCCGAGCCGCTGACGTCAGACGCAATGAAGCAGCGGAGAATTGTCTCGATTCCATGGTGACGCTGCGTCCTCACGGCATTGGGACTGATGTCACGCGCGATGAGCGATTCGAGACGTGCGTATGCAACGCGGTGACTCTGTTGGCGCGGCATAATTTGTCACGAGCGCTAATTCGCTTGGAATTCTGCTCTTCTGACTCCACAGTTGGGGCCGACAGAGGTGGGGCTACCCCTGGCGAATTCAACGACACCACCAACGATGACGACGACGATGACGACGGTAACGGCACGAGGAGTAGCTCGGCTCCGGCTCGAGCGCGCGGAGTTCCGGCACCTCGGCACGGGCGTCCGCAGAAACGTCCGAGGACTATCCCGGTGCCCTACAAGGACTCCTCGGCTGCTGAGGACCCATGGCCGGCCAATGATGTGCCTGCGCCGGCAGAATCGAAGGAGGACCCCCCCCCGGCCAGGACCCTACAGGCGTCCAGGAGAGTGCCCGTGCTTGCAGAGCCCAAAGAGGATCGAGCGAAGCTCCAAAGGGTGTCCAGGAAAGGACCAGCGACGGCAAAGCCCACGGACGACTCGCCAGACACCCCACAGGTGGCCAGGAAAGTTCCCATGCCGGTGGAATCGGCAGAGGACCTACGCAAGACCCCAAGGGCGTCCAGGAAAGTGTCCGTGTTGGCCGAACCAAAGGAGGACTGCCCGGCCAAGGTGGCACCACCTGCAGCCAAGCAAGTGCCGGGATCCGAGGACCGAAAGGAAGAATCGCCGCTGCCTGCTGAGACCCCACGGCCAGCCAGGAAGGTGCCCGCGCCCGTGGATGAACTTGAGGTGCCCCCTGCTATGACCGCACGGACGGCCTGGAAAGTTTCAGTTTCCGGGGAATCGCAGGAGGTCCCGCGGGCGTCCGAGGAAATTTCCGGCGAAGCCCAGTTGGTGAAGCGTGTGTGCCACGATGAGATTTCGCTTGCTGTGAGTGTTTTTATTTTTGTTAACACAACTTGCTATGCAAAACAATAGACTAGCTGGCCATCAGTAACTCCACCCACTTAAACAGTGGGTGGAGTTACTTGGACAGTGGGTGAGGTTACTTGGACAGTGGGTGGGGTTACTTGGACAGTGGGTGGAGTTACTTGGACAGTGGGTGAGGTTACTTGGACAGTGAGTGGAGTTATTTGGACAGTGGGTGGAGTTACTTGGACAGTGAGTGGAGTTATTTGGACAGTGGGTGGAGTTACTTGGACAGTGGGTGAGGTTACTTGGACAGTGAGTGGAGTTATTTGGACAGTGGGTGGGGTTACTTGGACAGTGGGTGGAGTTACTTAGACAGTGGGTGGGGTTACTTGGACAGTGGCTGGGGTTACTTGGACAGTGAGTGGAGTTACTTGGACAGTGAGTGGAGTTACTTGGACAGTGGGTGGAGTTACTTGGACAGTGGGTGGGGTTACTTGGACAGTGAGTGGAGTTACTTGGACAGTGAGTGGGTGGAGTTACTTGGACAGTGGGTGGAGTTACTTGGACAGTGAGTGGGGTTACTTGGACAGTGAGTGGAGTTACTTGGACAGTGAGTGGGTGGAGTTACTTGGACAGTGGGTGGAGTTACTTGGACAGTGGGTGGAGTTACTTGGACAGTGGGTGGAGTTACTTGGCCAGTGGGTGGAGTTACTTGGACAGTGAGTGGAGTTACTTGGACAATGAGTGGGTGGAGTTACTTGGACAGTGAGTGGGTGGGGTTACTTGGACAGTGAGTGAAGTTACTTGGACAGTGAGTGGAGTTATTTGGACAGTGGGTGGGGTTACTTGGACAGTGAGTGGAGTTACTTGGACAGTGAGTGGAGTTACTTGGACAGTGGGTGGAGTTACTTGGACAGTGACTGGAGTTACTTGGACAGTGGGTAGTGCTATTTGTTTAGTGGGCGTGGCTGTAAAAGTGGGCGGGGCTGATGAAGGGCGTGTCCCAGTTGAACCGACGAAAAATGCTGTATCCTTTGCCAGAGAGATTAATAGTGAGAAAAGCATGTATTTAATTACGTGCAGAACTACACACCTTGCCAGTCACCGGGGTTTGATTCCCTGCTGTGGACAATATTGGTGGCAAGTGGGGGTGTGAACCTGTCCTGGACCTCTCCTAAGTTGATTGAGACATGAGTACCTGGCGCCGTTTATGAATGTCTAGTGAGACAAGGTCACGTTACCTATCATGTGCGTGTTGGCCTTAATGGATGTTCACTAACAGCACCTACCCCAACAGTCTGTTAAAGGCGATATGGGGGATCTTTGTGTGTGTACATTGGTGTTGTTATCTTGTTTTCCTGAAGCTGCCTGGACCCACAGCTCCAAATGTCTCCTTGCAGAATCCTCAAGGTACCAGCAACACAACCCTAGCCCTGAGCCTAACCCCACACTCGCACTGACACTAACTCTTCCTCTATCACTAGGACTGACACTGACACGAAATCTTACTCGATCACTAGGACTGACACTAACACTAACCTCACTCTTTCACTGACACTAACTCTTACTCTGTCAATAGGGCTGACACCAACACTAACTTGACACTGACCATAGTCCTGACATGAAACTAGCACCAACACTCATCTAAACTTGACACGCACACCGGCTCTAAAATACTGACACTCGCACGGACGCTAACTCTGGCACTGATTATAACCCTCACCTTAAGCATAACCCCAACCCTAGCCATACATGCTACTGACCTAACGCTAGCCTAAACCAAAGCTTGCAGCTAACATAACACCAAACCCTAGCTCTGAATCTACACCTAGACCAAACCCCTCCTCTTGAATCCGATGCAAATCACAGTTTGATGTCCATTCTTTCTGATAACTTCACTTGCAATCGTATTGGACAACCTCTCCTTGTCTGTTTATATATCGGTGCGATGGTCATCATATATCTGTTCGATGTTTCCCATAACTTAATTTAGTAATTGTAGTTATGGTCAGTCTGCGGATAATCGACAGCAGGAACCCACTTGCACTGTAGGGAATTGATTACTTTTACGTTTGTGCAAAATTTTCGATGTTCTCACGTGACGCGGTTGTTTTTGTGCCGGTTTCTATTTTGCTTCATTCCTGCACGTTATCTTTCTCATTCTGCTGTCGTCAATTTTGTTGACCCAGGTCACTCGCGCTCGCAAACGAGAAGCTACATGCTGCTCTCTCGAGATCCCGCCTCGTTTAAGCAAAATAATCTTGAAACGTGAACCATCCCCCTAGCCTCACCCCCAGCCTATCCCTCACCCCCCCCCCCCCCCAACCGCCGCTGACCCCCGCCTCCTCTGCCTGCCCCGCGCGTCGCCTACTAGATCTGAGCGATGAAAACGATGGCGCCACGATGAACGTTGCTGTGGCTACGCCGGACGCGGACGGGGCAGCCGCCTTTGCGTTCGCCAACGGGTGCGGGGCCGCGGTCGACACGGACGCGGCCCTGGCGGCTTTCTCGGCGGCTTCGGCGGCGGCGGAAGCGCACGCGGCTGCGGCGGACGCGGGATGCAGGAAGAGGACGACTTCGCGGAAGAAGGCGGTGGAATCGGCGGCTGCCGAGGGTAGCAAGCGGTCAAGCGGCGGGCAGAGGCCCAGACGCCCCAGAGCCAGGACCCCTGGCGGCGAGGAGCCACGGCAGGCGGAGGGGGAGAGCCACCAGGGGGAACACGAGGTGAGGCTTTCACGGGGGGCCGGCCGTCCACTTGTCCTCGTGTGTTGGCCCATGTTTGTGTCTGCGTAGATGTCTCGGTGTGGTCTGTGGATTTCTCTGTGTGTCTGCGTATCTGTCTGTGCATCTCCGTGTGTGTGCATTTGTCTTTGTGTGTCTTGTGTACCTCTCTGCAGTTGTCTGTTTATCTCTCTGTGTGTCTGTGTATGTCTGTTTGTGTGTATGACCGTGTCAGATGGAATGATGTGGTACGAGAGGATATGGAGCTCGGTTGACTTGCAAATAACTGGTACCAGCGGTGTCAAGGATTGACCTCTGTGGAGGAGGTTACTGGGCAGTTAGAGGCAGACGCCCTCCAGCAAAAACGGAGGGCGGAGGAGCGACACTCACAACATCGAGCGGAGCGCCAGGTGATTAAAACACAGCAAGTTGGCACAGTGGGGGGCACAGGTGGTGCATCGGTCAATGGTGTCAATCAGTCAACCCATGGCACCTGGGTCTGTCCCGTGACCTCCTGGCAGCGGTCCTTGCACACAGCCTGGCACGAGGGCCATGGTGACGTCACCGCCACTTCGTGGCAAATGGCGGTTGGCGTTGTGTCTGTGTATCTCTTTGCCTCTGTGTGTCTCTGTATATCTGTGTGTTTCCGTGTATTTATCTGTGTGTGTGTACCGTATTTTCCCGCATATAACCCGCATACGCATATAACTCGCAGACGCATATACCCCGCAAAAATAGCGTTTTGTGTAAAACAAATTTCAGATAGCCCGCACCTCCATATACCCCGCATGCATTCATATCTTTAACGTCATTACTGCAGCTTAATTCCATTATATTAATACGAAGTTTACTTTTGTAATACATTCCACTATCAATTGTTAACATTAAAATCATAACGTGCACAAAGAAAACAAACTAACTGGAAAACAGTGAACTTAAAACAGTAAATAAGTAACAAAAGTAAATATCCAATAAATAAGTAACACACAACTGGTAGATAAGTAAGTAAGCTTTGTTTCAAACTTCCAATGGCTCTGTTGCCAGGAGGCAATGGCGTTACCGTAGTGCCGCTACTGGACCGGTAGTTACCCCTGTACAGTTTTAGCACTGGTAGATTGCGCACTGCGCAGACAATAGCGGCACTACGGTTACGCCATTGCCTCATGGCAACAAAGTGATTGGAAGTTTGAAACAAAGCTCATGGTCGCGACTGTATAGTGCTCAGCCAATAGCAGCGGCCTAAGGGACTCAGCAATTGATTCCGCGTCTGGTAGACACTTGTTAAGACCCTTCCCATTGTGCAATCCATAGCCTCAGCTGAAACTTTCTCACCCCCCTACAGCCACTGAAAGTATTACGGTTAACAAAGTGTACCCACTTCAAACATTGTCGTTTCATTGTACAAACAATTCGAATAATTTAAAACGTGATAACATGTGCAATTTTAGTGTTAGTGGTTTATTCAGCAGTGCTTTAGTCAAAGGTAAGTGTTGCATAGTGGATAGTCCTACCATGAAAAAATTAAACGAGTTATGACATGTCACACGTGTAAAATATTTTTTGGGATAGCCCGCACTTCCATATACCCCGCAGGGTCTTGTTTTGTTTGTAAAAAGTGGTATACCCCGCGGGTTATATGCGTGAAAATACGGTATCTGTATCTGTGTATCTCTGTGTGTGTCTGTGTATCTCTGTGTATCTCTTTGTGCATCTGTGTATCTCTATTTGTGTGTGTGTATCTCTCTGTGTGTCTGTGTATCTGTCTGCCAGTTCAGTCTACCCCTCCTCCCCCTCCCTGCCCCCCTACGCCTTCACCCACTCAGCCACGTAAATGGGTCCCCCACGGTGAGCCGATCATGAGCCGCGTACGGCGCGCAAGGATCTGTCGTTAAACTGCTTTGACTGTGAACGCGCCGAAGGCTGGCCGCGTGGTGCTCGGCGGTGTGGGGGCGGCGTGCCCCATGAGTGATCCCCCCCATCCCATCCCCACCCCCACCCCATCCCCACCCCCCCCCCCGCCCTCCTTTGCGACAGAAGCGGCCAAAGTCGGACCCCGGCGGCGTGGAAGAGACCGCGTGGCCTCCCGTGGCCTCCTCGCCCCCCGGCAAGGCCGAACAGAAACGGCATCAGGTGATGAAAGGGGGGTGGGTGGTGGGTGGGGAGGTATCGGAAGGTTTGTTTCTTGCTTTGGGCTGTTGGAGGAAATCCGCTGGGGAGAACCTGGAGGGGGAAACCCGTTGCTGAACAGGGGGAGAGCGTACAAACTCCACACGGAGAAGGGCGGCCCTTGAGTCAGCGATCGAACCCAGGCCCTTTCAGCTGCGAGGCACGAGTTCATCACCACTTAGGCCTTGCCTGCGTATTGAGGCTGGCCTGCCTGAGATCTATTCGGGCTGGATTGCGTGTGGAGCTCGGGAATCCTCGACAGATGTGGACACGGCCCGGCCGGTGAGAGACGGCACGTTTCGGGATAGCGATTGTCGGTTCAGTGATTGTCGGTTCAGTGATTGTCAGTTCGGTGATTGTCGGTTCGGTGATTGTCGGTTCAGTGATTGTCGGTTCAGTGATTGTCGGTTCGGTGATTGTCGGTTCGGTGATTGTCGGTTCAGTGATTGTCGGTTCAGTGATTGTCGGTTCGGTGATTGTCGGTTCGGTGATTGTCGGTTCAGTGATTGTCGGTTCAGTGATTGTCGGTTCGGTGATTGTCGGTTCGGTGATTGTCGGTTCAGTGATTGTCGGTTCAGTGATTGTCGGTTCGGTGATTGTCGGTTCGGTGATTGTCGGTTCGGTGATTGTCGGTTCGGTGATTGTCGGTTTAGTGATTGTCGGTTCGGTGATTGTCGGTTCGGTGATTGTCGGTTCGGTGATTGTCGGTTCGGTGATTGTCGGTTCAATGATTGTCGGTTCAGTGATTGTCGGTGCAGTGATTGTCGGTTCGGCGATTGATTCTTACCAACAGCGTTGTACCCTGCGGCACACCACGGGAAGGGCAGCAGAGTCAAATGTATAATGCACGAGAAAAGTAACAGGAAAGGGGAGAGAGCGGAATCTTAACCTTAAATAATTCACATAGCGCCTTCTCCACGGCGCTTTAAAAAGAATTAACAGCGGCACAACGTGTGACTGTAGTAGTGGGGATTAGGTGAATGAAATAGACGAGAGGAAGCAATGGGGGGGGGCGAATCTGTGATGATGCCTGAATTCGGTGCAAGCGAAATTGAAGACGGTAAACGAACGCTTTCTACGCAGGGTCTTGTGCTGTCCCCCAGTATCTTACAGTCAGCATGTGCTGCGCGTGAATTATCCACGTCGTGCTCTACTCAAACACTTATATACAGATTATAAATACACGCACACATGCGTTGGCAAAGATCACCCATATAGCCTTAACAGACTAGGAAAACAAGTGATGTTAGCGAGTAGCACCGATGAAGGCCGGCACGGCACACGAAGGGGGTGGGTGGCCAGCACCACGGCAAGACAGTGCACGTATCAGAGCATCCCTAGCTCGTGGTGAGACTAGGCCGTCTCATGGTGTAGGCCAATCGGTTTCAAAGACAATGCCATATATAATTATCAGAGCATGTTTGTTTGCATGTTCACCACAAGGTACTGCGTGTGGTTAATACAGACTTCATAACTTGAAAAAGTTTTCTATTTTGAATATCTTAACACCTATCGTATTGCTAGAAAGGGTAAAACCTATTCTTGCTTTTCAAAAGTCTTGTGGATTTTTGTGTTTAGTTTATTGTCCTTCCCCCGCACCTCCGATTACAGCACGTGCACACACACTCACCACCTCGCGTGCCCATACCAATCTTCGTAGGCGCCCGTGTAACAGCACTTGACCCAACAGTCTGTTAAAGGCTACACGGCGGGGGGGGGGGATCCTTTCGTCCCCTGTGTGCGGCAGTGCACCGAGTGCAGCAAGAGCTACGCGAGCCAGAGGCAGCTGGAGATGCACACGTCGTTGAAGCACCGGAACGAGGGGCTGTGCATGTGCGACATGTGCGGCGTGACGCTGGGGACCCGGCAGGGGCTCCACATGCACATCAAGACCCAGCACAAGTGAGCGGCGTGCTCTTGGTGGCGTGTGCGTCTGTCGGGTCATCTCGGGCAGGTAACCCACAACACCCTGGACCTGCTCCCGTGGCCTCGTGCCAGCAGCACAAACGGGCACGGCTCGGGCTGGAGAACAGGTGGGCTGATGCTGGTGCAGGGGGAGGAGGTGGAGCCCAGTGGACCCGTGAACGACCGGTACCAGCGGTGCTGAGATTGGCCTTTGTGGAGGAGGCTGCTACTGGGCAGTTGGAGGCAGTCCCATGACCTCCTACCGGCGAGCCTTCGACACTCGCCGCAAAGTAGCCTGGCACACGTACCGTGGTGATGTGTGCCCGTCATTTAGCGGCGAATGGCGGCCATTATTATTGTATGTACGTCTGTGAGTGTCTACGTGCGTGTATCTCTGTGTGTGTCGTGTACGCGTGTGTTGCACACCCACAGGGATGAGCGCACGTTTGTGTGCGAGTTCTGCGGTCAGCGCTACGGGCAGCGCACGGGGCTCATGATTCACCGGCGCAAGCACACGGGGGAGCGCCCCTTCTCCTGCTCCATCTGTGGCAAGGACTTCATGTCACGTGGTGCGTGCAGCTCTTTAGATAGACCAGTACCGGCCCTCTACCGGCCCAGTATCAGCCTTTTACCAACCCACTACCAGCACAGTATCTGCCCTCTACCAGCCCAGTATCGGCCGTCTTCCACTCCAGCTCTCTACTGGCTCAGTATCAACTCAGTAGCGCTCTCTACTGGCCCGTTTTCAGCCATGTACCTGCTCAGTACCAACCTGGGAGCAGTCATTACCCATGTCTTGCTTGTTCAATGTTAATGTGCCCTATTATTGAGGGTCTACTGCGTGTTATCTTGGTGTGGTTTGGGATTATTTTGTTGTTTTTGCTGTCTTGCTCTACCTTGATAAATCTGACGTATATAATGATTCTACCATTTATGTTTAGTTAATTGCCCGCCATTTTCTCTGTTTCGTGCTCCTTTCGTCGTGTTTTTGTGGGCCCTGTTCGCTGTTGCGGCCCACTGACCCCCGCCCCTTACGGAGACATCTGTGACAAAAGAGCTTCATAGCTCATCGGATTCCTCCTGAAGTCTAAATCTAAAAAAATTCTGATCAAAGATTCTGTTACCGGCCCGGCACCAGCCAAGTGATGGCCCTGTCGTTGCCATGAACCGCACCACCGATTATCCCCGCACCTCCGATGAGTACGTTTGGCTACGGACGGTGCGAAAGAAGTTCAACGTGCATGCAAACCAGTGCAGTTGTAACCCTGTTCTGGTGCCCTCCTGGCCCAATACCAAACAATCAACTCGCTCCTATCCTCCTTCCAATCCCGCTCCTCTCCCTCCTCCCCGTTCCCTCCACGACCGCCCCCCCCCCCGTTGCCGCGTGCAGGAACGATGGCCAAGCATGAACGCACGCACACGGGCGAGCGCCCGGTCCCGTGTGAGCGCTGCGGCCGAGGCTTCGCTGACCGCGGCTCGCTCGTGCGTCACATGCAGAGCGTCCACTCGGATGGGCCGCTGCTCTCCTGCACACTCTGCTTCAAGCCCTTCAAGTGTACGCAGCCCACCGCCCTCACCCACCAGCTCCCCACCCCCTCCCCAACCCCTCCTCACCCCCTCCTCATTCCCTCCTCACCCCCTCCTCATCCCCTCCCCACCCCCTCCTCACCCCCTCCTCATCCCCTCCTCAACCCCTCCTCATCCCCTCCTCACCCCCTCCTCACCCCCTCCTCATCCCCTCCTCAACCCCTCCTCACCCCCTCCTCACCCCCTCCCCACCCCCTCCTCATCCCCTCCTCACCCCCTCCTCACCCCCTCCTCACCCCCTCCTCAACCCCTCCTCATCCCCTCCTCATCCCCTCCTCACCCCCTCCTCACCCCCTCCTCACCCCCTCCTCATCCCCCTCCTCACCCCGTCCTCACCCCCTCCTCATCCCCTCCTCAACCCCTCCGCACCCCCTCCTCATCCCCTCCTCATCCCGTCCTCACCCCCTCCTCACCCAGCCGCCACGGCACACCACATACAGTTGTGAATGTGCTTCCCCATTGTTGGATGAATCTGAACTCGTTCCTTACTCCCTGCTAAGGAACGAGTTCCCCACCTCCGTACCAAATCTACGAATACTTTTCAGGATTTTGAGAAGGCCTTCGCCCAGCAGTGGATCATGGCTGATGACTTTGAGACTTTCCTGCTTAAAGGACAGTCCACCATCGTGGTGATGGTGGTGGTTATGATACTGTGAGAAGCTATGAGTATGGTGCCACAAGTTTGGATGTCAACTTCACTTGTGTGTTTCTCTCTCTCCTCCCCTCTCCATTCTCTCCTCTGAGTCATCACTCTTCACACTCTCCCCTCTTTCTCTCCTGTCCTCTGAACTCTCCTCTCCCTCTGCACCCTCTCTCTCCATTCTCCTACATCTCCTATCCACCCTCCATCTCTCTCCACTCCACTCACCACTTTTCCCACTCTCTTTCCTATCTCTCTACCTAATTTTTTATTTCTCTTCTCTCACCACCCCCCCCCCTTTCTCTCGTCCCTCTTGTATTTCCTCTCTCCCCGTTTGTATTTCCTCTCTCCCCGTTTACACTCTGTGTTGTCTCTACGTCTCTCTCTCTCAAGTCTCTCCACACTCTCTCTCCCATCTTTCCCCTTTCTTAAACCTCCTCTCGCATGTCTCTCCCTTATCTCCCCCCACCTCCTTTTCCCCTTATCGACTCTCTCTGTCCCCCCCCATCTTTCATCTCCCTTCTGTCTTTCTCTCTCTCTCTCTCTCATCTCCCTCCACTCTCTTTCCCTGCCCCATCTCTCCCCACCTGTTGCGTCTCTCCGTGCGCCAGCGAGCGACCAGCTGCGTGCTCACCTCCGCCGGCACACGGGGCAGCGCAAGTTCAACTGCTCTCTGTGCGAATACAAGTTCACTCGTCAGGTGTGGGGGGCGGGGGTGGGTGTGTGCGGGGGGGGGGGCGGGGTGGTGGCGATGATGAGGAGGGTAACAATGTCACAGCCATCTTCATCGTCACTTCGTCATTGGCATCATCGTCATCACCATCGTCAGTATTCTCGCCACTAACGTTGCCATCGGAGACATTGTTATCGGCAGCAGCATCATCATCAGCTTCGTCAGTGTAATCAATATTCTCGTCAGCTTCATTGGCGCATCGTTGTTGTTGTTGTCACCATCATCTTCGTCAGCATCATTACCTTCAGCTTCGTCATCACCATTGTTGCTATTACCATTGCCATCATCGTTAGATTCAACATCAGTCAGGAGCGCCACGGTGTTGTCCCATCATGAATCCCTGCTCCTTGAACAATCCCTGTCAGCAATCTCTGCCCCGTCAAAAGTCCCTGTCAACAACAATCCTTGCCCTGTCAACAATCCCTGTCCTGTCCACTCGCCGCGGTGTCAGCCGATGGACATATTTTCACGGCCCTCTCTTCCCCCTCCCCTCCCCCACACCAGGCCCACCTGCGGCGGCACATGGAGGTCCACGGCCGTGTCACCGACTACTGCCCGCAGATGCGGCGGCTGCGCACCACCGCTGCCGGTGACCAGGAGAACGCCGCCACCGCCGACTCCTCGCAGCAGCAGCAGCAGCAGCAGTTGCAGCTCCAGCTGCAGCAGCATCTCCCACCGGGCACGGCGCTCACCGTCCCCGTCGCCGGGCAGCCCTCGCTGCTGACCTACACCATCACTCCGTCGACGTTGAGCGCCAGCCACAGCCTGGCGCTCGCCGTGGACCTGCTCAACGACGTGAGCGGCGAGGGTGGCGAGGTGGCCGTGGAGGAGGTGGAGGAGATGGGCCAGGAGCAGCACGAGCATGAGCAGCAGCTGCTTCAGCTGCAGCAGCAGTTTCAGCAGCACCAGCAGCAGCAGCAGCAGGAGGACGAGGAGCAGCAGGTGGCGGACGTGGCGACGGTGGCCGGTGGGGACGACCCGGGGGTGGCGCTGCTGCTGAAGCTGGCCGAGCAGAACCCAGGGGACGTGTTCGTGCTGATGCAGTCGTGAGTGGCGGTGACCGTCATCGGCGTCGTCAACGCCAGCAGCCACTTGATCGGTGGCAGTGAGTGACGTGTCGGCGTTGAGGGAGCGTGCTTTGGATAAAAGCACTCTCGCTAGAAACTGAAACACTGGCGGGGGTGGGGAGGGCCCTCTGTGGCTCGTCAGATTGACCCGGAGCAATTTCTCACTGGACTCCTACCCCCCCCTCCCATCCCCCCGATATGACGATGTGCTCCTGACGAGTATGTTGGGGGTAACCGCAATCGCTTGATCTCACCACCCTGCTGGGAGAAGGTGCTTCCCCACCAGAGGGCGTTCTAGGGACACGAGCGATATGTTAACAAATGAGAGGGGAGTGGGGGGAGCGATGGGCCCCCCATTCGGTCCATCCGGCTGCTTTGTCGGTAGCAGGTGGGTTTGGGGAACCTCACCGGGGCCAGTGCTTGAAGAGTCTCGGTGAATTCGCTTCCACGACGCGCTTATTGCGGGCCTGTCCCGGACTGCCCCACCACTATTATAGAGGGTGTATTGGGCCTCCTCTTCCACACTCGCCAGACTCCTTGGAATAGGTAGAAGTACCCACACACCGCGACACGGGCCCATGCGTTTGGCAAGCTGCTGGGTGAACAGGCAGTGGGGGTTGGGTGGGATTCAAGAATCTTGGCAATTGTTTCGACTGCGGCCCCGGGGAGATCTTCATCACCATTATTTACATCATCATCACCACCATAAATGACTGTCACCAGCACCGCCACCATCGTCATCAGTTTAATCCATGTCACTATCATTGCCGCCCGTAAAAATGTTTTCACGATCGTCATCCTGATCATAATCATCGTCGTGTCAACATTGTCACCGCCATTGTCCACATCATTGTCATCTTTGCGCATGGGGGGGGAGGGGGGGGAGGTCTGACCTGCCCGGATGTCACGTGCTGACTTCCTGGGTCCTGTCCGATGATACTGGACGTGGTTTCAACGTCATTTGTTTGGCCTTCGGGTGGTGGAGGGACTTGGCGACACAACGTTTAGCCAGATCCTTTATGCGGCCCGAACCCCCAAAAATGCTAATGTGAACAATATATTTTGTCTAGCATTTAAAGGTTTTATTCGTTACCGGTTCCGTTAATATTTATTGCTATTTTCAATTGTACTCGGCAAATGTTGTCACGAGATCGGAAGCGCTATCCATTGGAGACTCTCGTGGTTCAAGTTTCTCAAGTAAATGTTTCTCAAGTAAACGTTTCTTGAACTGGGTTGAGATCTGAGGAGGCCAGGATGAGTCTCATTCGCACGACGATTTGCTGATGCGCGCACCATCCCAATTGAGTAATTTTCGAGCCATTTTCGAATTCGTTTCAATTTGTCCTCTGCCACAGGCACCCAAGCGGCCCCCACCCCCTCCTCTCGCGTCAACCGTGAGGCGGCACGCCGCCCAGTGTCTTTGTTCTTGGCGTCTTCCTTTCCTTCGACGGCGCGGGAGTGTCCTTACGGTTAATGCACAACCGTAGTAGTAACCGGGGGCGACCGCTGGATTCGAGCCCCCTCCGCGGGCCTCTGCAACAAGCGACAAATGCACAACCCCCGTGGCCGCGCGCGCACGCGTGCCGCTTTACCATCAGAGATGTCGCAGCAAGGAAGCTGGACATCTAATGCTAGAGAATGGCCTGTCTCACGTGGGATGGTATTTATTTTGTTTTTTTGTTGCTCCGAT